GCTCCTGGCTGCTGCCTCCTCTCACCTCCTGGTAATTATTCCTCTGAATAACACATCAGTCAAATCAGTGTCACGGGTTGGTGCATGTAATGAAGCCAGACTTGGTTTTTACCTCAGGCACCTCAAAGGGCACCTCCTGGCCATTAGCCTTCAGGATGTCTGCCAGCAGACGCAGGGTCCTCTCCCTGGGAATCACCGTGTCCTCCTGCATCTTAAGCCACACCCCCTCGGCCTTCTCCCAGTTGTTTGATTTCCCTGAGAAAAACAAACAGTTCAGCTCTACAAACAGAACCAGACACAACCTGCACGTTTGGGTTTCACACCTACAACTGCAGCAGACCAATCAGAGACCTCGTCTCCAGGAAACACACTGCGATGTGTGTGTGAGTGAGTGAAGAATGAGGGAAAAAAAACAAAATCCAGGAAACACACTGCGATGTGTGTGTGTGAGTGAGTGAAAAATGAGGAAAAAAAACAAAAAAAACACTCACCGTACAAGCGGAGCAGGTAGGAGAACATCTCATCTCTGTCACACTCAAACAGCTTGGACGTCATGTCCACCATCTGCTCCAGCGCCTCCACCTTCACACCAACAAACACACTTTGTCACCTCAGGTGGAACTTTTCTTCTTTTTTCCCTACTTGCTGTGTGTGTGTGTGTTTACCTTGTTGTTAACAATACATTTCTCTGCAAACCACTGCAGTCGTGAAGACTTGGCCCTCAGTCCTGGAGTCTGCACACAAGAGAGTGACTTTAAAAAAAAAAAAAAAAAAAAAGCAGCAAAAAAATACTCTTTGGAGTCGATCACTGCACAGACAGTTCAGCCGTGAGAGTTAGAACAAAAAGGAAGGATCTTTTACACCAGTGAATTTGTTGTATTCCATTCATATCTGTGATAAAAAATAAAGATGAACTGAATGATTTTGACACACGTTTTCAGTCAGATAAGTTTGACAGGAAGTGAACATGAAAATTGTCTGTGTAGGTTCTCAGTCATCCAGGTCATTTCATCCAAAAATAGTTACATCGGGGGCAACTGGACGGGGCAAAAAAACTCTTGGGTGAGACGTGAAACGTCTTAAAAAAACACCTTCTCCGTCCAGTTGACCTCGATGTAACTATTTATGAAAATGTTTCAGGAACAAAAACGATTGGCCTGAACCTGGACCTGGACTAGTTCAGTGAAAACATTTCTGTCCCCAAGGGTGGGAGGGGGGAGAGGGAGGGGGGCATGAGAGAAAATAATTGCGAACCACTGGTGTAACAGAAGGAGGAGAAATAATAAAAATAAAAAAGACCTGAAATTAATCTGAAAGAGGATCAACGCTGTTCACTTCACCCTGGATTTTCTCCTCGTGGCATGAGAGGGAGGAGAGTTTAGAGGAGATGAGCGTTGAGTCCTGTCCTCGTTCACTCCTGGTCTTTTAACCCCCCCCCCCCCCCCCCCCCCCCCCCCCCCCCCCCCCCCCCCCCCCC